GGCAGGGAGTCTGTTTCTCCCTCTGACCCTCCCCCTTCTCATGTGCTCTCTCTCATTCTCTCCCTCTCAAATAAATAAATAAAATCTTTAAAAAAAAAAAAAAAAAAGCAAACATAAAATAGAAATTAGTAACAAAGGCAGATGTTGGTCACCGCCAAGCTTTATAAAATAAGACCTGCTTATCATAATAAAAAGAGGATAAAATAAATATTACTTGAAATAAAACCTGGTAATTTCACTCACTAAAATCTTAAATACATATATATGTATAGGAAAATATTCACAGGCATATTATATTTTTTCATGAATGCAAGGTTAGTGTAATATTTGAAAGTGCAGTTAAGCACAATAGCTGAAAGAAAACTCACCATCTTAAGATATGTAGAAAAATATCTTAAAGTCAACAGTGATTCATAAAAATTATTTTAGAAATTTGGCACTGAAAGTAGAGGAAGAAGATTTAAAGTAACTGCCCTACAGTCTATATTTTTATTATTTTTTAATAGGTGATGATGCAAGGCAATTAGGTATAATCACCTTGTCAACTAAACCTTCTTTCAGTAAACAGATTAATGATATTTGCTAGAAAGGAGAAATCATGTCTCTCTAACACTCCTAGCAGTGTTGCTGGCTAAGGATTTTCTAGAGTAAATAGAACACAGGATCTATGAGGTATGGCTTCTGAAGACAGCCATGTAGACAAACAAGTCCCAGAGTTATAAAACAAAGTAGTTACATAATTAAATCTCCCAAGATAATCTTAAATATTAAGAAAAAAATCATAGAAATTGATTACTGTATTAGCTTCTGTGGCAATCACAATCTTGGTGGCTAAACTATGACAGCAATTTATTCTCTCATAGCTCCTGAGGATAAAATTCCAAAATCTATTTTACTGTGCTGAAATCAGTGTGTATCATCAGCAGGGCCACAGTCTCTGCTGAGCCTTTAGGGTAGAATCTTACTGCCCTGGTGGCTGTAAGCATTCCCTTGCCTTTGGTCACATCACTCCAATCTATCTCTGTGGTCACATTATCTCTTCCTATTCTTTTGATCATGTCAAATCTTCTACTGCCTCCCTCTTACAAGGATGCAAGTGATTACCCAGATAATCCAGGATAATTTCATCTCAAGTCCTTAATTTAATGATCTATTCAGTCTTTTTTTTTTCCCCCCTCATATAAATTAATATTCACAGGTTCCAGAGATTTGGGCATAAATATTGTTTGGAGGGCCACTATTCAATCTACCATACTGATTTTACTTTAGCTCATTATTATAGGACTCTGATATGAAGACGACTTCTCCAAGACACTGGGTTGATTATATGTCCACATGTACAAAATGAAACAAATACTTAATAGCATTCAGAAATATTAACTCCAAGTGAAGTGTGATATTAGATATAAAACAATATATAAATTTTCTAGATGATTTTATACACACACACCTCAGATAGGGAAAGCAAAAATTTTTTAACAGGTCATCAAACCCAACAATCCTAAAGGAAAAGATTTACCAATTAGATATTATTCACAATGGGAACTTCTGCTTATTAAAAAACAAAACAAAACAAAAACAAAACACTTTGAGTTAGAAAATAAGCCACAGAATGGAAAATGATATTTAAAACATATAACCAATAAGGGTTATGTTTTTCATATACAGTATATAAAAAGAACTCACAACTGAGTAAAAAAAATTTAAAAATCACCCAACCCATTATATAAATGGTCAAAATATTTAAACAACTAATGGAATAAAAAAGATATACAAATAAGCAATAAACTTATTTATGGAAAGATGCTAAACCATATTGTTCATCATACAAATGCTAAATAAAACAAATGTAAAACAACCACAACCACAGCTCTGCATGGCTAAAATATAAAAGCCCAAGAATACCAAATGTTGACAAAGAAATGATGCAACCAGACTCACATACACTGCTTTTGAGAGTTGAAAATGTTAAAAATTCACCAGAAAACATTTTTTCCATATCTACTAAAGATCAACACACACATGCACTAATAACAAGCACTTCTACCCCTAGGTGTATACCTAACAGAGTTGCATGTGCATATATACCAAATTTATGCACTTGTCCCAAACTAAAACAAATCCAAAATCCCACCATATATAAAACAAAAAAATTATTACAGTTTATTAATTCAAAAGAATACTATGGAACAATGTAAATAAAGGAGAGTCAGCTACCAGGAACAGTAATGAATGGATCTCACAAACAACAATGAATGAAAAAAAGCAACACAAAATCATATATACTCTATGATCCATTTATATAAATTACAAAACCAGGCAAAACTAGCAATATATATTAAAAAGTGAAAACAGCACTTACCTTGGAAAAGATACTTTAAATAGTGACTAAGTGGCACATGACAGGAGCTTTGAGACATAAACTGTCTATTAATTTAGATGGTGAAAGCAAGTTTATATCCACATATAATGCATTTAATTTACTACATGTATGTTATATACATTTTAAAGAGAAATTTCATTTTATTTTATTTAACATTTCTGATAATATTTTAGTAGGAGGGATTTTGAGCATATTTATTCTGGCATTTATCCATTAAGACAATAAAGACATTAAAGCGATGCATTTCTATTATAATGTAGAAAGTAAAATGCTTACATGTGTATCCTCACTTCTCTTTCTGTCTCACATACATACACACACACACAAACACACACACACCAATTTCTAATTTAGTCCCCTCCAGAAATGGATTTTTTTTTTTACCATTTTGCTTACTGTAAAATGTAAATTCTCTTTCAAGATAAAAGTGAAAAGAAACACTTGAGGGAGTAATTACAGAAAAAAAAAATCTCAATTTTGCAGGAAGGTAATTTATAATCTTAATTAACTTACATTTTCATAATGTTTCTATTGATTTCAGCCTGGACTCTCAGAAGCATAACACATAATAGTAGTTCTAATTTACTTGCACATTTACATTTAACAAAAATATAATATACCTAACCTTATATCACTAGGTAAATAGTCATGTTTGATTTTTATTTCTATGAATTACACTCATCCAGGTAAAAACTGATTAAATGGGCTTGTTAGTTTCAATTATTCTGCTATGTGCTGAACTGAAGCTTGCTTTTAAAACCACAAAACATGAAAGGGAAAATATATTCTTCAAGTAGTATTCAGAATAATTTAGTAAACACAGAATATTATTTTATGCTTGTAAGGCACCACAAGCAAATTTAAAATCATTTTTAACATAGCATAAAGCAGTTCAATTACTGTAGTTAGGACTAAGATGAGGATAAAGAAAACAGCAAACGATTTAAAGTATTAAATTACACACATTAAATCACAGGGGCCTTTATAAAACACAATTCTCTCAGTGCCTAAGTCTCTGGAATTAAGTTAACCCACCCAAGAAAACAAATTTTTTTCAGAAGCATTAGAAATGCTAGTTTTTATTTCAGAATTTTTCATGGGCCTGAATTTTTTTGTATTATTTCTTTCTTCCTCAGTCAAATGTTTGAGATAAATATGTATTATCTTCCCTTCATGGAAAGGCCACCGAGACGCTAAGTATAAATTTTAAGTACAGTAACACCAAGGGTTTAAGCTGAAATTCCAACCTCGGTATATTTAACCCTGGGTCCTTCGTGCTGGTTAAAACACATGTTATCGGGGGCCTGGGTGGCTCAGTCAGTTAAGCGGCATGATCCAGGGTCCTGGGATGGAGCCACACATCAGACTCCCTGCTTAGCACGGAGTCTGATTCTCCCTCTGCCCCTTCCCCCTGCTCATTCTCTCTCTCAAAAATAATAAAATAAAAGCTTTTAAAAAAAACACATGTTTTCTTTGGTAAGCTATTAATAAATTCCCAATTTGTCCACATTTCTGCCTTTCTGTGTAATTTACCTTAAAAAGATGGAAATGACAAAAGCCGCCTACCTCAAGATCCAGGAGAGCTCATAAACTCTGCAGAGCGTCCTTAAGAGAAAAGCCGGTAAATTGACCAAGGCCGCGCCTCAGCCCAGAGGAGCCAGGGAGGCAAGGTCAGCTGATCGCCTACACGACTCCCTTCCAGGTCTCAGCCTCCAGCAGGTCTGTCTGTGCTTTTGTTCTTCGTGGCAGCATACTGCCTTCTCCCACTGACTCAAATGTGAGGAGACCCTGACTGGGTCTCTCTCCACTGGCTCTGAGTGACTACAAAAGCCCCGTGTGGAGCCCGTCAGGTGGGAGTCCTGGCCCTGCTCTCACTCAAGCTGTGGGAAAGCTGGCTTTGGCTAAGCTCCGCTCTGGACCCCTCTTGAGGCTCGGCTCACCCGCGTGCTGCCAGCAAGGCGAGGCTTCCAGTCAAGTCACCATGGGAGTTGTTCCAAGAGGTATTCAGGAGCACGTGACTGCTGGTTGACTCAAGCTAGATCCGGGCAATTTGAGGCTCTTCGCCCCCTCCCCTGTCTTGGACTATAGGCTCCGCCCCCTAGTTTCCGCTGTGAAATTGCTTCGATCGCTTACCCTGGGGAGAGCCAAGTGTTGTTGGGACCACCTGGCAGATACAGGTGGCTGAACCACGTTAAGTCCTCTACATAAACTTTGAGATTCTGGAAGGTGCTCGCGAGATCTACTCACCAAGGACAAGGCTCCCAAGTAAGTTCCCGTGCTTGTTACTGCCGCCTAGTCTAGAATGGTCTGTTTCTTCAGTCTCTCTCTGCCCACTGTGTATGGCCGCCAGTTTGTGAACTTACAGAATCCCCTCATGTTGTCCCTCACCAGTAGGGAATGAGGCCACACAAATGGGGCAGGTGCTGCTGGGACCCTCCACTTAAAAGCTTACCCGAGTGGCCTATGACTGTCAATAAAGGTTGGGGAAAAAAAAAAAAAATTCAGAAAAAAAAAAATAACTCTTTCAACCTGTTATTTTTTTAACAGAAAAATTGGGAAAATAAATAATCCTTTCACTTCAGAAGTTTGCGGACACAATAAAATACAGTTGACAGTGAAATGTAAATGTTAAATTTATGAGTCCTAAGGGAAAAAAAATAACGAAAACTTATTTCTAGTAAGCCTGGTGAGTTAAGGGTCACTCAGGAGTCCTGTTCACTTCTAGGTTCTGTTATTTATAAGATCTGTGACTTTGGGTGAGATATTTAACTTCTCTGGGAAATGTACTTAATGATAGGGTTGTTAAGACTATAAAATTAATTAATATTTGCAAATTAAATTAGTGCCTGCGACAAGATAACTGCTATATATAGCAGTTATTATTGTAATTAGTCTGTTTTCAAAATACATTATAAAGTGGGAGGAAAATAAAGCTTATTCTATTTAAAAGGAGAAAACTCATGGAAAAGGTCTGGGATCAGGTCTTTTATCCATTTGTACTGCTCTGTGACCTTGGTTAAGGCATTAATCTCTGAGGCCTAATTTCTGCATCTGTGAGAAAAGTGTAATTTCAGAGGACCTTTAAGATGGTTGTATTTAAGGGACGCCTGGGTGGCTCAGTCAGTTAAGCGTCTGCCTTCAGCTCAGGTCATGATCCCAGGGTCCTGGGATCAAGTCCCACATCGGGCTCCCTGCTCTGCAGGGAGCCTGCTTCTCCCTCTGCCTCTGTCTCTCATGAATAAATAAAAAAAATAAAATCTTTAAAAAAAAAAAAAAAGATGGTTGTATTTAATAATATTTTTTTAAATGAAAGAATTAGAATGCTATTCAATTTTGTCTCTGGTACCAATTTACCACTTTTCTATAGGTAAAAGGAAGTTTTTAAAAAATGGATAAAATCAATATTCAGCTATGCTATCAAGAATGCTCTTACATGCTCAATTTTCAGTTTCTTTCCTAATTAAACCCTAGTCTGACTGAGAGATTTAATATAAAAGGTAGGGGAGAAATAAAAACCTCATGATTTTATAAAACTCAGAAGAAGTGCAAAAGTGATAATCAGTACACTAATTATATTGGTCATAGCAAAAAATGATAGTGAATTGTAGCTAAATTATAGATCAAATAATTACAGCTTGCTTATAGAAAAAAATGAATTATTTTTAGATTGTGCTAACAGGAATGATACAAACTGCTATGGGTAAGGAAGCTACAGTCAGCTCTCATTCTCGCAGTAATTATCTTTTATAAAAGTGCCTTGACACTGAGTGAATACTGAACCATTTTTCCAGCAGAACATATAGGGTTAGATTACTGTAAGCCTTTGGCCATAACTTTTTTTTTTTTTTTACCAACTAATCAATACATAACCTTGTTTTATGTGTGTTTCTGTTTAAAAAAAAAACCAACTTTTTTTTTTTTTTAAGATTTTATTTATTTGGAGAGAGAGAGAGAGCACAAGCAGGGCGAGCGGCAGGCGGAGGGAGAAGCAGGCTTCCCGCTGAGCAAGGAGCCCCATGAGGGACTCGATCCCAGAATCCTAGGATCATGACCTGAGATGAAGGCAGACACTTAACTGGCTGAGCCACCCAGATGTCCCCAAAAGAACTTATATTTAATACGTACTTTTATTCATTAACAATGAACTCATTTCCAACAGTTCTATAATTCATGCTTCAGCTTATCTTAGACATGTATTTTCTCTGTAAGATGCACCACAACCTTCTTAGGAACACTGGACAGTATCTTAGTACTATATTTGGGAACCATTTTAAACAGTGAAACACCAAAAAAAAGAAAGAAAGAAAAAGTAAAAATATGGCATGATATAGACTGCAGAAGGGACACTTGTGTACAGTATGAGAGGATCACCTTGTTCCACTTCATCTGGGAATACAGCATGAGGTGACTCAAACTTTTCAAACAGATATGTCCGTGAATGACTAAAAATGCATGAAGAACGCGTTGTGGGTTACAGAGAGATTGTAGCAGGTGGTCAGATTTGCAAATATGGGATCTGCTAATAATGAGGTTGCACTATATTTTATGCCATGTTCTGGTTCTGACTTCAAAGATGTTTAAAAAAAAAGATACTGTTTCACTCTTGCCTATTTCTAGATATTTTTTGCAGGCACATAAACATAAAGCTAAGTCATAAATGTAGTATATAAACATAACTGTAATATATAAATACAAAACTAAGTCAAAAATACTCATTACCCCGTTAAGCCATTTATGCCCAGGTCTTCAGACTTGTTATTTTGCCATTTTACTAAGATGAACATTGACTCTCCTCTAAGAATTTTGTTTTGGTTCACACCTGTGAATTTCAGGATCTTAAGCTGCCTTCTGTGGGGTAACCCACCTAAGCTTTGACTACCAGTTCTTCAGCTAAAGCCACGTGATGACTTCTCAGAATATACAGCCTCTACATAGGTATTCCATTCAATATGCAAAAGGGAGGAGAACTTATATGGTAGTCATGTAAATATCCATGCCATAGATTCCCCCAATCACTTATGCCTTAAGTTATTTCCTGCTTAAAACATTTGCTCTTTCATCTTTACCATATGAATCTGGAAAATAAACCAGGTAGGCTATGGCACTTGGCATCTGCTGCCCACTCCTCTGACCTTGATAATTCTTGTGTATTGGTACCATGAACAAATAAATACACAAACAGAATACATACCAAGAGTTTCATGGGGTAATTTTAATTATTAAATTTCTATTACCTTAGTCATAATTATTGATTGATATGGCTAAGTAGAAGATTGTACTCATGAATATCATTTGGAAGTGATAATATAATTTTATGGTTACATTTGTTTAAAAAAAAAACAAAACAAAACAACCTAAGTCTTTTCATTGAAAAGACCTAAAAATAATCACCAAATCTATAAGAATGATATCTGGAGTGCCAAGATTGTGGTTTCTAAAATAGCATTTTAAAAGAGATTTACCTCAAGCTAATGAGAATATTCTACTGTGTTAACTTAGAGAATGTATAAACCTTTCTGTTTCAGATTTGGGCCTGCAATACTACCAAAAGTGATTTTTTTGTGTGTATAGTGTCAAGTATGGGTAATGATATATTTTTTCCCATGTCAATATTCAACTGATCATGTACACTTTAATGAAAACACTAGTAGTCAAAAAAGACATGACTAACAAGCAAGTCTGTTTTTGTATGACGTGAGCTAAGAAGATTTTTTACATTTTTAAATAGTTGGAAAAAATAAAAAGGATAATATATGGTGACATGAAAATTGTATGACTCAATTTCAGTGTTCATTAATACAGTTTTATTGAAGCACAACTATGACCATTTGTTGACATCTTTTGATGTTTTTAGGTGGAATTGAATAGTTGCAATAGAGTCAAAATCAAAAATTTTGTGACAAATTGACAAAAATCAAGTGACTATATATGATAGGGTAATTTCCTGAACTCTCTAGGTGACTCATTATTCTATGGGCTTATCTTCACACCAAAAACACACTCAACTAACTACCATAACTTACAAATTACCTTGGTATTTCAAAGTATAATTTCTCCAATTGTGTTGGACATAGCTATATTAGGCTCTTACTGTTTTGTATCTTTTACAAATTTTAGTATAAACATATTAATTTCCACACAATGTAGCTCCTGGATTTTGATTAGGATTGCGTTGAAGTATATAGATCAATGGGGGAGAATTTATATATTTGTGATAATGAGATTTCCAGTGCATAAATATGGAATACCTTTTATTAATTTAGTTTCCTTTTTAAATTTCTCTCAGTAGTGTTTAAAAATTTTAGTGTATATATCTTCTGTATCTTTTATTGTGTTAGTTTATATATTTGATGTATTTTTATTTCATGATAATATGTTAACATACATATATATACATATATATATGGGAAAGTAGTTTATGTAGAAATCTCTTTAAATTTCCTATGTACACAATATTGTTGCCTGTAAATATTGACCATTTTTATTTCCTTATTCCAACACTAATAATTTTTATTTCATTTCCTCACCTTTGTTGAAATAACTCTCTTGGTTCCACATGGAGCCACTACTGCCTGGGATGCCATGTCAGCAAAGTGAAACAACATCCCGTGTCCTTTTAAATGTTCTCTTTGACCAGAAACACAGTATATCCAGGGCACCTATCCCCAAACGCCAAGCCAGCTCTGGGCCTTCTCACCCCAAACAAGATTTACTATGGCCCCAGCCAATCAGTTATTTTCTATTTTTCTCTTCTTTATTCTTTATTCTTTTTCCTATAAAATCTTCCTGCCTTTCACTCCATTTTGCAGTTATCCAAGAGAAGACAATCCACTTCATGAAGTGTTAAATAAAGTTTATTTGTATGACCTAGATTGTTTTCTTTAATCACTTTTAACAGTTTTTGCTGACAAGGAATGGGATCTGAAGCTGAGTGCGAATGGCACGCAGGACAAGTTGCAGAGGCCAGGCACCCATGGAAGCCTTTGAATTCACTCCTCCTCTAGTCTTTACCAAGGCCATGGGTAAGTCACTGTCAGATTTAGCTCCGCCCCTTTGCGTGCAGCTCTCTGATCCAAACTTTATTTAAAAAACATATGTAAGGGGTGGCAGCCGTTGGGAGACTCACAATGCCTTGAGCTAGGTAAACAGCATAAAATGCTGGGGAAGTTGGAGAAATAGATTAAGACAACAGATTTGGACTGTTTTGAACATTAAAATCAAAATCTTAATAGGCATAGGTTGGACTATTAAATTCCATTGGGCATCTGTCACTATAAAGAAATGTTCAAGTGAAAGTTGTAGTAGATCTATTGCTCATGGTAATCTTGGAAGCTAAAGCTGCAAAATTGGTGGGTGTGAATCAAGCACTTAAAAGCTGTTAGAGTGCTGTCTACCTAATTCAAAGACTCCCATGGTAAGGTAAGTTGTTCATGGGATGACTTAGATTGGCACTAGGTCACCTGCCAACCTTGAGAAAATTTCCATGCAATGAGGTACACTGTAAAACACCACAAAATCCCCAATCCAGCAGCACATCCCCCTTAGGTGTTAATTTGGCTCTGAGGAAGTTTAGCTGAAGAAATGGGGTCCTCAAGTTTCATAGAATTGAGCATGCCCCCTGCTTATTTTATGTTTAAGAACTGTAGTCACAGGATTTGTGGACATCTACAAAAATGGTAAATCTTACTAAGACAACCTAGAATTACAATGGCTACTATAGGAAGTGTTCCAGTTAGATAAAATCGTTCATTTGAGAAGTTCAGTTCAAAGCAAGTGTTCCTAAATCAAACAAACAGAATGGGATATCTATTTTAATTGGCATGAAGAAACGCCCAAAAGTCTCCAAGATTCCAAATAGCTTTGTCAAAAGATTCATTGTATAAAGCTAATAAAAAATTAAATACACAAGAGGTACCTAAATATAGTCTTGTAAGACTGAGTGACTCCTGCCGCTCCCCTTTATCCTTCTTTTCCTGAGTACTCACAGTCTTCCAGTCCTCTATCTGACTTGCCTTTTCACTTTGAAGAGACCACAAGACCATAAACAGAAGTCTACCAAGTTAAAGGTCTTACAACTGCACAGCTCCAAGGCCTTAAAGCTAAAGCAACACCTAGGCCTCCCCTGTTTCACCCTCCTAGGGGTCCATCATCAGAACACTGGCCCAGAAATCAGTGTCTCACTTGCAGTCAACTGGGACACTGGAAAAAAAATAGTGTCCTTGAAGGTTTTGTGAAAATTCTTCCACACCAACTCGAATGCCCCATATCTACACTCCAAGAAGGGCCCCCATTAAGAGCCCCTTCCAGAATTGATGGGATCTCAAAGGATTCTTCAGTCAACTTCTACTAGTTATTCCCTTAAACAGCCAAGGGGAAAGTAAAATTAATGGAAAATCTTGCCAGATTCTGGCGGATACCAAAGCTATATGCTCTACTTTAAACCCCACTCACTCCAGAGTCCGCAGATGGGATCCTAGCAGAAGCCAGTGATGGGTAAGATTTCTTACTAGAGTTAGTTCTTTCAGGTTTCTGCAATCCTAGTCAAGAAAGGAAGGTAAATTTCATGATACTAATGCCTTTCCAAATCCAGTCTGGATTTGGTTTGGGGGTGCTTACTGGTTATTGATCCTTACTGTCTTAGGGGCAGCAATTGCCTTCTTGTTTGTCTCATTTTGTGTTCTGAGAATTTGACTTGGCTTTCTGCCTGCCTGGGGCATGCAGGTTTTGGTTCTTGCATAGGCAAGCAGTTCAACCATCAGGATGAGGAACCAAAATTATGGTCAGACAGAAATGTGGGTTGCATGTGACTAGAGAGGACTAGAAGGAAATGTGGGTAGTACTTCATTTATCCTACAGACTGCTGCCAGCCCTCAGGGGGTCTTAAGTCTTTTGTTTTTAGGAGGGAGGTATTTTTGGGAGTGGATCTCAGGGGAATAGTATCATTCTCACCCTCTTAGGGAATGCCTCCTTTATCTATGGAGTTGTTCAGTACTACCATGAATATTCATTTTTTTGTAGTGGCTAAAACCTGGCAAGGTATTTGAAAGGATTTTTTTAAAGTTAACTCTATGGTCAAATGTTGTCCAAATTGGAAGCTAGTATTCAGATCCTGATAGGATTTTCTTTTTTTAGGCTTTCTCCCCTAAGTTAAATGAAACTATCTGCCCAAAGGGAAAGAAAAACATTTCAAAGATAAACAGCTCTAAATCTAGAACATAATGAACTTTGTGATTTCTGTCTTACTCAGCAAACCGAAAGTTGGATAACTCTCAAGTTTCTATAAATACTCCACTTGACCAGAAATGCGGGATATCCAGTCAGTCATTTCCCAAATTCTAAGCCAACTCTGGGCCTTCTCACCTCAAACAAGGCTGACTATGTGACCCCAGCCAATCTGATATTTTCTATTTTTTCTCTTCCTTGTTCTTTATTTTTTTGTCCTATAAAAGCTTTCTGCCTTCTGTGTCATTTTACAGTTCTCCAAAAGGGGATTGTTCACTTCATGAAAGTTTGTTTCATTCACCTAAATTGTTTTCTTTATTTAACACCTTATTATTCTGACTAATATCTTTAGAGCATCACAAATATAGTGAGTATCTCCTTCTCATTCCTATGTCAGGGCTAAAGTTTTCCATATATTGATATTTTTTATTTGTTTTATTGTAGGGAGCATTTATGAAATTGAGAACGGTCCCTTCTATTCTTGTCTTTCTAGCAGCTTTAATTACAAATTGATGTTAATTTTAATGTTGTTTTTCACCTATTACTATGCTTATGATTTTTCTCCTTTTTACATTAGTGTTGTGAATTTTGTTTTTAAATATCACACACATATCATGCAAACTAACTTACCTAAACTCAAAACCAAGATTATAAGATAATCAAGTAAATGAGTGCAGAGAAATCTTGATACTTCTAACCATTGGTAGCTCATTGCATTACACCTTAAGAATAGTTTCCTTAGAAGATAGAAAGGTATGTAAGGTTTTAACATGCTGATTTTAGGTCTTCCAAAGGGCATATCACACCTATGTAGTTAGAGCTGTCTCTTTTTCTTATTGTACCAAAGGTCATTTTGTCATATTATCTGATTAATCTCTTAGATTTATTTGTGAACAGATTGAAATTAGTTAAATAAAATAAGAAGAGTCACTACTAATCCCTTAAAATGGTAAAAATGTCAATTTACCTACTTGAGTAAGTGTTACCTGATAGGATTGGACAATGCAGGAGTTATAAAGATAGTTCGTAATAGGACCAAAAGACCTAGAATTAGTCTTGAGTTGTTATTTTTTTAAAGATCCCCAAGAGAATTTTATTTGTAGATCATGCATTCAAAAAATAATTTTCACACCTATTTTGTACCCACAACTCTTCTAATCACTAGGTATACAACAGTGAAAAAAAAATGACCATCTCGTAGAGCTTAGAGTCTGGACATAGATACTATATATCTTTATATATCTTCTACATCAAACTTCATACCTCAACTTTATATTTCTAAATTCCAAATCTTAAATGTTACCATTTAATAAAAGGTTTTAAAAGATCAATCCATTCATGGAAAAAGGCACTTGTTTCTATAGATAAATTCAATATTCAACAAAAAATATCTTCTTTATTATGTTCCTCAGAGAAATTATAATCTCCAAAATTTCACATCCCTTTCTTCTTGTTTATTAAATTCAAAGGGCTTGTATCAAATGAAAGAAGGCCTTATCAAATATTATTCATATATTAAAGAGCCCAAAAATGCTTCTCAGATCTCAGCACTATAATATGATATAAAACGATACACATGCCAGGAAGTATCAGAGGTCAAACAAGAGACAAAGAAAACAACAGGCAGTCCTAGTTTTGCATGGTCCTGATATATCCAAATTGTGATTACCATGATTTAGTTATATAATACCAGTCCCCCAACAACAGAGTTGATTTCAGTCACCATAGAATATTAACTAAGTAACTGCATGAAATATGTACTTGCTGCTAACTCTTCAGTTCACAAATCACTGTATAAATAACACATGTGCATCCAAATCCATGCTCAGTGTTACTACTTTTTTCAGTCCGTTGGTGATTGTTTACCACTCATCTGTTACTCAGTGTATGCACAGAAACAAAGGATGTAGTTTTGTTGCCTCCCTGTCTTTAAGTGATACAGCCATGCACCATTTTTTTAAAAAATGGATAAATGAAAGAGGGAATTAATCGACAGAGATAAACGTATGGCAGAGAAACAAAATGAAAATGCTGGAAGGGAAATTAGAATCTATTATGAATAGAAACATTGAAGAAATAGCTGGCCATGGGGATAGGTAGGCTATATAATCTTGATAATGGGATATTGGATACTCCATGTTAAAGTATACTCCTCAAAGAAGATTGTATGTGAGCCAGCCCCGCATAATCAGAGGACTCTGATTTGTCCCAGCCAGAAAGCAATATGGCTAAAGCTGCTGAGTGAAGGAGTTGTCAAGCCTTAAATAGATTCACCTTGCTGCATGATATAGAGCACTGGGTGGGCTTCTGCCATACAACTAAAAATGGAATATATAACCAAAGCCTTGTTTAATGGCATGGAACAATTCTCTCCCTTCACACCTCCTGATTCCTTTCTCACTGTCTACCTACATATCTTTCCATCACTTTTGTCCTCATTATTCCTACTTCTTGAGAAGTCCTTTGGAGAATTAACTATTCTTCAATTGATGCTAAATGCAGTAAATTAAATTTCCCTGTCCAATTCATGAACATGGAATTCAAACTTGGTCCCTCCAATACTGCTTCTTGAGATTTGACTCATGTGGAATAATACAACAATTACTTGTTGTGTTATTTATCCTGAAAACTGTTCCAAGACATTTCCATGAATTCCTGTTATTAGATCACATCTTAGATTTCATGTTTTTGTTCCCATTCTGTCTGATACTTGAATATACAGCTTTACTTTGAAATCTCTAGTCTTCCCTTGATCCTTTCTATGGCTTCTGGAAATAGCAAGAGTTAGTGTCTTTGCTTA